CTGAGCCGCACCAGCCAGGGCTCCGCAACTTTTTCTGAAGCTCCTGCACGTGCTGCTTCATGGTCGACTAACAGCATCAAAGCAAAGTCAGGAAGATGCACCCAAGGCTGGTTCCTGGGCTGCGGCCCCGCCCGCTGCCAGGGGGCGCACCGTCCAGGCAGCTTCGGCGGTGGGGGGCGGGGAGGTCGCCCCCACGGTAGGCGGCGCTGGGTTCTGCATCCTGGGGTTTCACCTGCGTGCAGGATGGGCGTGCACTAGGTTTTACACAAACACTTCCCAGGGCCCACAGAGCCCCACTGTGTGTTCCTAGAGGCCAGTGTCTCCTGGCTGGGGGGACGGGGGCTGCGTGCCTCTCGAGAACAGCACTGGGTGAGCCTGAGGGACTCATGGAAGGACAGAGAGCGGAAAGGGGTAGCCGGGTGGCATGGGGAGCAGATGCCGGGGTCACCGGGGCAGGGCTGGGGGACTGGTTAGGGCACTAGCGGGGTCCCCCAGGGCCAGACTAGGGAGCAGGCGGAACAGCAGCAGAGCTCCCTGGGTCTGGGGGTGGCTGTGGCCAGGGCCGTGGGCGTGGCGGTGGCGGCGGCAGCTCGGAGGGGGACAGGCCGAGCTGGATGGGGCGACGCCCAGGGGGCGTTGCAGGTGTTCTGAGCTGTCTCCGAGGGGCCGGTCAGCAGGTCCCCGCAGCCCACAGTGCAGGCCGGCCCCAGCCACGGGCCCTCTGGGTGCTGTCTGGGACCTGATCGCTCTCCGCCCTGTGGTGTTCCCAGCATCTGTGCCTGTACCTTCCCAAGCGCAGGGACTCCAGACACCTGCTGTGTCCCTTTCTGTCTCAGCTCACGGGGGCCCAGGGTCGCTGGTGTTTGCACACAAGCCCTCGAGTTCTGTTCCCTCCATCATCCTCTTTTCTGCTGGGCTTTCCCTGCCAGACTGTGTTATTTCCTGCCCGACAGACTGTATTTCACTGCCTCTAAATGTATTTTGTCCTGTGTTTCAGTATCCATGGAACGGGGTGCGTCTTATGCTGGTGGTGCGTCACTTTTACCCTTGGTGGCGCTTGTTGTCCGACACCGCCGTGACCCTGTCTGTCCCTTCTGGGGGGGGCCTGAGTGCGTGGCAGGAGCTGCCCTGCTGTGTCCTAGGATGCGGACGGACACTTCTGTCAGCACAGACTTTCCGAGCTGCCGTCTGGTGGGCGCCGAGCTGGCAGCCACGGACGGCGAGGTCATCCCTGTCTGTGTGAGAGGCCGCCTGCAGCTGAGCGGAGGGGCCGGGGAAGGGCTGGGCGGCCGCTCTGAGCACAGGGTCGTGTGGCCTGAGCATTCACGAGACAGAGCAGCTCCGTCAGCCCCAGGCCTCCTCTGTGCTGTCCCACGGTCACCCACTCCCACCATGGGAGGACGGAGGCCTGTTCTTGGTGCTCGTAGTGATGTCCTCAGAGAACACCGTACAAAGGAGTCACCCCGCTTTCAGCCATTGGAGGTGGGTTCTTCACACGCGGCAGGGTAGGTCTGAGCTCATCAGAGTTGTTCGCTGGTAGTGGTTTTCTTCTTATACTGAGCTGGGACCCCTTGCCTGGGTGGCCCTCTGTTCGCCACCTGCTGCAGGACACTGGGGCTCTTCCCCGTGGGAGGCGCCTGTGGTCAGAGCTGATGCAGGCATTCTTGTACAGGGTGCTGTGGGGACAGTTTTCGTTTCTCGTTTTCTGGCGTAGATACCTGGAAGTGGAACTGCCTGGCCGCGTGCTAAGTGTAGGTCTAACTTTCTGAGAAACCACGCAGCCATTTCCCGGCGTGCCTCTGCGCCTCCGCTGTCCCCGGCTGGGCTGACAGCTCCGTCGCTCCGTGTCCTTGTCTGCACTTGCAGTGCTCAGGTTTCAGGCTTAGCCATTCTCAGGAGTCGAAGTGGCATCTCTCTGTGGCTGCCGAGGCGGAGGGCTTTCCGTGTGGCCGTTTGCCATCTGGGTTTTCTCCGTGGAGCGTCTGTCCGGTCTTTGGCCAGGTGTTGAAGCTGGGCTCCTTCTCTTCTGAGCGTCGAGAGCGCGCTGTGTCGTTTTGATACAAGTGCTTTAGCAGGCCCGCGATCGGCACGCCTTCCCTGCCGTCCACAGGTAGGCTTGTTTTTTTCCATCTTTCCCAGACAGTAGAGGTTCATTTTGGTAAAGTCTAGTTTATCAATTGTTTTATGGGTTGTGCCTTGGGGGTCACGTTTAAGCTGGTAGCTGAACCCGGGATCACAAAGATTCTCTTTTCTTCTAAAAGTTTTATAGTTTTGTGTCTTACTCGCATTGAGGTCAGCGGTCCCTTTCTGCTCGTTTTCGTAGGCGGTGCGAGGCTTAGGGAGACGGAGGGAGTTTCTGTGTGCATTTTGCCTGTGTATGACCAGCTACTCAGCACCGTGCGCAGAACAGACTGTGTCATCCCTCCACTGAGTGACATGTGCTCCTTTGTCACAGACCAGCCGAGCGTATTCGTGTGGGTCTATTTCTGGGCCACGAACGTTGCCTCCTGTTGCCTGTACATCCAATCAGGCTTAAAACCAGACAGCGTGAGTCAGCACTTTCCTTGCCACTTGGTTTTAAGGTGTATTTTTGTGTATCCCTCCAAACTAGAGGGTCATAGCCTTACTCTGCCGTTTTAACAAACAGCATAGATGCGGGGGCGGGGGGGCCGTCACCTTCTCTGTCCCTGCCCAGGCTCCGCTCACGCTGGGGGGCCGCGAGAGTCGCGGCTGCCTGTGCTGTCTGGGAGGTGCCACGCGGGCGGTTCCCCAGGGCCACGCTGTGCCTCCGGGGGCCTCTGAGAGGACAGCACCCTGGGGCCAGGCCCCAGCGTGTGCTGCTGAGAAGGTCCGTGACTCTTCGGGTTCTGAGTCAGGGGCCTACGGGAGGCTGAGAAAGTTCAGGGGCGGAGGGAACGTGGCCCCCCTGGCCCGCGTCACGCGTTCATGCATCCTTAAATTTTTAAACACAGTGTTTCCACACCCGCAACAGCGGCCGTCTCCGCCGTGTCTCGGGGCGCAGCTCAGCGGCGTTGGGGACATTCACGCTGTTGTGCCGTCGCCACCATCCTCCCCGGGACTGTCCTTCTTCCCACACGGAACCTCTGTCCCCATGAAACACCGCTCCCCGCTGCCCAGCCCGGCCCCACCGCAGTCTCCCTGTCTCTGGAGCTCTGCCTCCTGCAGGGACCGCGTGTGAGGGGGACCACACAGGACGGTCCTTCTGTGCCTGGCTCATCGCGCTCAGAGCGCCGTCCTCAGGCCCTGCTTTGCCGGCCGCGTTCATACAGGGCCACAGTGTCACCGCGGCAGGACCTGAGGCACCTGGGGACCCATCTGGGCCCTCCTTTAGGACACCCACGTATCCCATGACGACACATGTGTTTTCTCGGGCGGGTGGGACCTGCCTGCCTGCTCGCCCGGGAGCCTGCGGCCCATCTGCCGGATTAGCCCTTGTTCGGTGAGAGCCCTTGACTGTGGCTTGCCTTCCCACGTCACGGGCGATGACTCACTTCCCAGCACAAGGGCTCCTGGCCTCTCCCGCGCTTTCTCCACATTTCACGGGCCACACGCCTGGAGCCCATGGCCCGGAAACCAGGTGGCTGCTGGTTCAGCGGGGCCGTTGATGGGGAAGGTCGCGGCCCTGCCTTGGCAGCGGGGCCTGGGAAGGCAGGAGGCCACCGGAAGACCTAGATGTCACCTGCAGAGTCTCTGCTGGTGGCGATGCTCCTGCCCTCCTGCGGCTTCCCTCCAGCCTTGCTGTCAGGCCTGAGTGACCTCCCAGAGGCCACGAGAGACATGCCAGCGGCCCTGTCACAGTGCCCCAGGCACAAGCATTCCAGGTTTCCAGAACTGAGATGTAACTCGGGCTCCTTCTGTCCCCTGAAGCTGGAGCCCGGGCAGGGGCCAGGGCGCAGGGAGGAATTCGGGGCACCTTTCCAGAGGCGCCCCCTCGGGTTTGGGTATTTTTAGCTGGCGCGTGCCCAGCAGGAAGAGCAGGCGCTCCTCCTGTTCTGGATCTGACGGTCTTGGGCTCTGGGGGAGCGGGGCTGGGGCCGGGGGGTGCCGTGCGGGGCACAGACAACGTGTGCTGTTTGGAGAAAGCGCAGGACAAGGAGCGAGAGCACTCTGAGCGCTGGCGCCAGGCTGCCGCCCGCCCGCCCCGCCCATCCGCCAGGGATCACTGGGCGCTGCAGGGAGGGGCGGGCGGGTGGGAATCTTGTCTTAAAATGTCACCAGGTTTTTTCCTGTGCCCCGCCTCCCACAGAAAGTCCTCCCTGGTGATTTGGGGTGGGGAGATTCTCCAGTGCTCTGTGCTGATGCCCACCTGCCCCCCACTGAGGCCCCCCTGCATGTCTGGTGGGAAATGCCACCCACCACACAAGGGCCCCTTCCGACTCCCCGGTCCGTGCAGGTGGGGGTCTGCCGACCGGGGAAAACTCCCTCCTCCCCCCAGGAATGGGGCCGCAGCCAGGCTGAAGGCGCAGCGGCCCGGCCCTCGACGCAAGCAGGCTGGCAGGTGCCTCCCTGCAAAGGGCCAAGCCACAGGGTGGGGGTTCGAGGCAACTGCAGACCTGAGGGTGGCTGGGCCCGCTCCCCCCGGGGCTGGCCTGCTCAGGGCTCCTTGACTGCCCCCACCCTCCTGTCCCGCAGTGGTTTGTTGGGAGCATTCACAGACACTGCATCTGGCTCTCCTGCTGGCAAACACGGGTGGCCTCGGGGAAGCGCCAGCTCACACAGGGCTGTGCCCCCACAAGGAGGCCCTCCCTGAGCCCTCGCTGTCGCCTGACCGGTGGGCCTCTGCCCGGGGGATGCCTCCTAGGAGCCTCCGGGGCCTCCGTGGGGATGCCTCACCTGCCTGCCTCCCTCTCGCTTGTTTATGCTGGTCCTGCAGGAGGCGGGCCTCCGCCAGGCCTGGGGGGCAGGGAGGGAGCTCCTGTACCCTGTTCCTACCCACGGCCGCCCTCGGGGACGCTGACTGGCCGGTACTATGCCCACAGTGCAAGAGAAGCCAGAGCCGGTGCCGCTGGAGAGCCGCTCCTGCGTCCTCATCCGCCGCGACCTCGTCGCCCTGCCCGCCAGCCTCATCAGCCAGATCGGGTACCGCTGCCACCCCAAGCTCTACTCGGAGGGGGATCCCGGCGAGAAGCTGGAGCTGGTGGCAGGTGAGGCCCGCGCCGCCGGCCCTGGTGTGCAGAGACGCCTTCTGGTTATTTTTTCTGCCAATCTGTGAACAATGTGCTCATCACCAATCAGTCAAGAAAAAGATAGAACATCTATTTCCTCTAATTTCCTTTTAGAAGAATGTGTCATTAAGAGGCGTTATTCAATTGAATTAATTTAGCATTTTAATTGAATCCCCTGGGCGGGTCTCGCTCCTGATTGGTGGGGGGCGGCAGCCTCGGTTGCCTTTCCATTTAGGATTTAGGTCTCAGAGGAAACCAAGTCCTAGCCGTGCCCCCGGCCCCACGTGCTCCATGGCTCCATGGCCGCATCCCGGGGCTGGGGGGCGGGGGCGCCCTGGGGTTCGGAGCGGCAGCTCACGGGGACGGGCTCGGCTGTAAAAGAAATAGCACGACTGAGTCAGAAGCCCATGAGGGCCGGTGCCTTTGACAGAAATACCGATCTCCTCCGTGGGAGCCGTGACTAGATTGGGAGGCTGTTCAAGGGGACCATGCGCGTCGATGGTGCTGTCCCCTCGCGGGTAGACACGGAGCCCTCTCCTGCCGTCCCCTTCGCCAGGGGTCCCACACTCGGGCTGGCCGGGAGCAGGGCATCTTCTGCAGCTGCCAGGTCCCCAGCGACGCCTGTATGTCGGTGGGTGGGAGGGGTCGGGGGCGAGGACTGGCTGCCTACCCTGACCCAGCCCCCGCCGGACGTCAGGTTGTCCGGCCCCACGGTCCCCGTCCGCCACAAGGGGCCCGCAGGTGACCGGCTCTGCTGTTGAGTTTGAGGCTCTGCAGACAGGATGTGAGGCCTTCGGGGACGCCCGGTGGGTCGTGGCTGGGGGCCGTCACACAGCATTGACCTGCAGGGGGTCTCCACGCGGGACTGGCCGGCGGCCTCTCCCACGGGCTGCTGGCGGCTCCCCTGGAGACCCGGCTCGTAGGGAAGCGTGGTTAAGCTGGGGGGGTCCCTGTGTCCCGCAGCCTGGGGTCCCATGGGCAGAGCAGGCCTTGTATGGTCCTTCGCCCTCTCCTGCCTGCGGAGGGGGAGGGGGCCCTGCCTCGTCCCCTTTTCCCAACAGGGAGGTCAGGCACGCGTCCTGTGATACTCGGGCCACAGTCCTCTGAGCCCCCGGTGGGCCCCACCTGCCATTGTCTCAGTCCTTTGTTCCCAGCCTGGGGGGCTGGCGGGGCCCTCACCCAGAGGAGGTCCATGCAGGGACGGGGGGAGCCCCACCCCGACCTCCGTGACCCACTCCCCACCACTGCATCTGGGAAGGAGCCGTGGGGCAGGACCGCCCAGACCTCGGCCGAGCCAGGGACTTCCCTCGAGGCCGGAAGGGTAGTTTGGGGACAGCCCTTGAGCAGGCCCCCACGCTGCCTCCCCCAGTGACGAGGCCTCAGCGCCCCAAGACGAGCCTGCAGTCATGCTCCGCGCCTGCTGCGGGGCCCAGGCCGGGTGGGGGCCAGCCTGGGGGCCGGCTGGCGGGGCCCTGCCTCACTGTGTGTCTGCTGGCCACAGGCTCCGGCGTCTACATCACGCGTGGCCAGCTGATGAACTGCCACCTGTGCGCGGGGGTGAAGCACAAGGTGCTGCTGCGCAGGCTCCTCGCTACCTTCTTCGACAGGTAGGCCCCTCGGCTGCCCCGGAGCTTCAGGCGCCTTCTTAAGCCCCAGCCGTCAGCCCCTCAAGGCCCCTGCCTTCCAGATATCACACGCCATGGGGGTCCGGGGAGGGTGGGGCTCTCGGGCATTTCCAGGGGGCTTGGGAACCTCTCAACCAACTGAAGAGCCCCCCTCCCGCAACCAGGGTGGGTCAGGCAGCCCCTCCCTCTTTGGGGCTGTCCTCTCCCCCATCCACCAGAGGGCGTCGGGCCTGCAGTCCCACTGCACCCAGCCCTGGGGATGGGGGAGCCCTGGGGATGGGGGAGCCCTGGGGATGAGCCCCAGTCCACAGCGGAGGCCAGGTGTCCCCCCACATGCGGGCTTCTGGCTCCTCCGTCCAGCCCGCGGGCGGGGGAGCCCATTCCCATGGTCACTGGCGGCCGAGGCCTCACCCCGCCTCCCCGCCACCCCTCCGGCAGGAACACGCTGGCCAACAGCTGCGGCACAGGCATCCGGTCGTCCACCAGTGACCCGAGCCGCAAGCCACTGGACAGCCGAGTCCTCAACGCTGTGAAACGTAAGGGGCCCGGGTCTCCCGGGTGGGTCTGGAGGAGCCCCGGGGACTCGGCCGGGGCGCTGGAGGGGGGTGGCCTGTTCCCCGGCGCCAGGCTGGGCTGTGGGTCAGGGGAGGGGAAAGAGCAGCTCCCAGAAGCCAGGTCTCGAGGTGGGAACGTTCTTGGTAGGTTTCCAAGCGTGATGAATTCAGCTGCGAAACTATTTTAATACGTGAAATAGATCTAATTTTCCTTTTTGAACAAAACCCTTTATTTACATTTGAAAGTTATTTTGAGCCTTTGCCATCTGCTCGGCGGCTTCGGCCTCCCACTCCTGGGTGCGCGGGGGTGGAGCCCGGCCACTGCGGTGGCAGACGCCACCCCGTCCCGCACCCCCGGTCTCAGGAGTAGCGGCCACGGCTGGTGCCCGGCATGGGCCCCCCTGGCCAAGTTCCTGTCCTCCCGTAGCCGTGGACACACCGTATGCTTAAAAAGCATACCTTCTTCTAGAGAAAACGGGGGCCTTTGCAGTCGGTAAAGTGTGGCGTGCCGGCCAGGCTTCCCGGAAGCTAAGATGCGGGCAGGGGTGACGCTGCCCGCGGCTGGACTCACGGTGCAGGGCCTGCCCGGCACGCCTGCCTCCGGGGTCCTTGTTCTTGGAGAGCCGGGTCTTGTGCTCCTGGGGCAGGAAGGAGGACAGGGGCTTATTATGATCGACGACAATGGGCATGACACAGCTGCCCATATCCCCCCAGCTCGGGGCTGCCTCCCGCCTCCCGCCTCGTCCAGCCTGTGGGCGGACGCACCGGCTCTGCCCTGACGCCCCCTCCGGCCATCGAACGGATTTCTGACCAGGCCCTGGATCCTGGGCAGTGGGGTGCAGGGAGTGGGCCTCCCACGGCCACGAAGCCAGCTGGTGGTCAGACGCTGGAGCCGCAGCCTCAGCCCCAGGGCTCTGTTTTCTCTCCTCCCTGAACGTTCAGCCAGAGGCTGTCCCAGGGCTGGGCGTGGCCTGCGGGGCTGAGCAGCAAGAAGGGCGACTACTGGCCCTTAGGCCGGGGCCCGGAGAGCTCTAGGGGGCCAGTGGGGAGCAGGGCCCATCCACCGTCCCCAACAGCCCAGGAGTGGCCAGTCTGACCCAGGGGCCTGTCCAGGGCGTCGCGGCTCGGGGACTGCCTGGGAGGCGGAGGGTCAGCAGCCAGCGAGGCCTGTGGGCACAGTCCCCCTCACGCCCTCCTCGCCTGTCCTTCCAGTGTACTGCCAGAACTTCGCACCCAGCTTCAAGGAGAGCGAGATGAATGTGATCGCCGCAGACATGTGCACCAACGCCCGCCGCGTCCGGAAGCGCTGGCTGCCCAAGATCAAGTCCATGCTGCCCGAGGGCGTGGAGATGTACCGCACGGTCATGGGCTCCTCAGCCGCCAGTGTGCCCCTCGACCCTGAGTTCCCGCCCGCCACGGCGCAGGTGTTCGACCAGCGCCTGTACGCCGAGCGGCGGGCGGACGCGGCCGCCATCGTGGCCCTGAGAACTGACGCCGTGAATGTCGACCTGGGCACCCCCGCCAACCCCGCCTTCGAAGCTGGCGAGGAGGCGGAAGGGGCCGGCTCCGTCATCCAGGAGGTGGCGGCGCCCGAGCCGCTGCCCCCCGCCGGCCAGAGCCCCCCGCAGCCCTTCGAGCAGGGGAGCGGCAGCTCCAGCCGGCCCCAGACGCCTGCAGCCCGGAGACCCGAGGGCCCCTACGCGGGGACCTTGTAGAGGGCCGGCCGAGCGCACCAGGGACCGGTACTAGCTGCTTGCATGCGTTACTAATACAGACAAATGTGATCAAGCCACTTACCTACTGAACTGCTGTTGCCTGAAAAAAATGTGATTTTTATTCTGCTTGTATTTAAAATTTATGAAGGAAACATGCATTCGTGACACTGTAAACAATTAGACCACTGGCTGCCGAGTTGCGGGAAAGGCCTCAGGGCCCTTCTCATGCTCGAGGTCAGTCTCCAAGTGTAGCTCCCCCTTCTCAGGGAGGGGACGGGAGGCCGCCGAGCCCCGGCCCTGCCCGCGCCTCCCCCCTTCCTGCCCCTCTGCCATGACGAAGCCAGGGGCCTGTGGCTTGGGGACCCTTGTCCTTACCCATGAGGAACCCCCCGCCGCTCCGGGGCCACGGCCAGGGCTGGGCCCCCAGGGGCCAAATTCTTTTGTTTTTTTCCTTCCTCTTGAGATCCGGGGTCAGGCCTGCCGGGTCCGGGGGGGGGGGGGGCGGTGTGAGTGTGCAAACGAGCGTATGCGGGACCGTGCGCGGCGGGCAGTGCGGCGAGCAGCGAGGGGTCTTGCTGTCCCTGCGAGAGAACGGGCCCCCAGCAGTGCCTGTCCTCCGGCCTCGCCGCGCCGGGGTGCCCCCGGGCCCCTCTGGCTCTCGCCTGGCGCCCCTTCTCCCCCGCCCGCCCCCACCCCACCCCCGTCCCAGGGGGCGGGGCCGCTACCCGGGGGCCCTGCCCTCCGCCTTGTTGGGATTATGTTTGTTTGTTCATTTGTTTTCATCTGAATTCAGATGTATTTCATACATGGTTTGGAAACTTTCAGACCCAAAAGAGCAAAAAATTAGGGAGGACTGGGTGTCCCTGCCTCCGACCCGCTATGGGCTGAGGGCAGGGCACCTGTGTACCATGTTCCCCACCCCAGGCCAGGTTTTACTCACCCTCTGTTGGGGGCAGGGTGTCCCTAGAAGCATAGTCAGAATGAGTGATGAGGTGGAGGCCCCTCGGGGGCCAGCGTGGAGGGGGCTGGGCTGGGCTGGGGCTCGGGCTCTCCTGTCTCTGACCCTCAAGGTGCGCCCCTCTGAGGCTGCAGGTGTGCCGAGGCACAGAGGTTCTGGAAGGCACGGTCGGGGGGAGCAGTGAGGAAGGGCCCATAGAAATTGCTGGCTTGTTTGAGGCTGGAATGTTCCTTTCAACGTTTGGCAGCTGGTTCTGGGCTGGAGGGTGGAGCGTGGGTTGTCTGAAGTGCTCCTGCAGCCGCTCACCCAGGGGCGCCGCGTCCCTGGCCGAGGGCGGCCTGCCTCCCCGGTCCCAGGCAGCCCTGATGTGGCCAGGGGCACCCCCTCCGTTCCCAGGCTGGAAGGGATCTCCTGCTCGGTGCCTCTGTCCTAGTGCTCTGTTCCTCCGCCTGTGTGTGCTCCCCGGGCTGGGCAGGCAGGGCTGCCTGGGGCGGGGAGGGGTAAGCGCGCTCCCACTCACTCCTGCCGCCGCTGCCCTCCCCGCGGGAAGGGGCTGCGCACGGCCTCCCGGCCCCCTCCAGCCGGGGTAGATGTGTGCCTGGCCTCCAGAAAGATCCGACAGCTTCCGGAAAGGGGGGCGGGGACCCTGGGTGGGCACGTGGGAGCTAATCCCAGCCGCGCTCCCATTTGTCCCCACCCGAGTGCAGGGTGGTCCGGGCCCCGTGGTCCTGTGTCTAAAGAGGCTGGGGCCCGGGCTGGGGCTGCGAGCTGGCAGCCTGGCCCAGAGGCGGGGCCCTGCCTCTTCCGCCCAGCCAGGGCCCCCGGTCCAACAGCCCACGAGGGACCAGAACTGAGTCGTCCTAAAATTGGGAGGAGGCCATGCCCTCTGGCATCCTCTGGTGGCCTCAGGGCAGGGGAGATGACGGTGGGTGAGGGTGACCCCCACCTACCCCCCCATCTGGAGTTTCCTTTATCTGCTCCCCCCACCCAGATTTGCACTTTAATTTGACCATCCGTGGGGACCCTCAGGAGACAGGCCCACCCGTCCTGGCTGTGGACTGAAGGGCTCGCTCTGTCTCCCTCTCTCTCCTCCACTCCAAAGTGGGCACGGCCCCCCACGCGGGGCCAGGACAGGGAGGGGCGCCGCTGGCCCGGCGGAGGAGGCGGCGGCCGCACAGAGAAGGCCTGACCGCGGTGCAGGCCAGCACAATGTCCCGTGACCTCTGCCCCTTAGTTGTTTATAATCGCCGTCTGTTCTGTTGTTCTGGGTAAGGAAGGCAAAGCTCTAGGGGAACTTTAGTCATTAAATGTGAATGGGTTCTGAGCTCTCCCGGGCCCCGGCGGGCCGGGCCGAGCGTTTTGCACTAATGTGTCCCGCGGTGGACGTGGGTCCGGAGCGTGTGCGGACGGGCGTGGCTGATGATTGTATGTGCCGGGGCGTCCCTCCGAGGCCCCGACGTTCCGCGGGGCGGGCGGCGGCGGCCTGGCTCGGGGGCCTTCCAGAGTGCCTTAGCATCTTTTGATCATTTTTTCCAAGGAAAACCAATTACGAACACCGGACCCTCCCCCTCCTCTGTTTACAAGACGACTAATCCCTGTCCTGTCAGCGTGACCCTGACCCCAGACCCTGTAGATGGAGAGATGAGCCACTCAGTATTTATGAGATGTGTGCACCTTTATCCCTAAGCTTGACTATTAGCAATATGCATATACTACATAGAGTCTATATAGAGCTAAGACATAGCGGCGCCTTGTCGAGGAGGAGAGAAGGGACCGATGGCGTGGAGCTGATGTGGCGCTGGCCTGGGCTCCGGCCGCCGCCCCACCCTCCTGCAGGAGGCGGCTGGGAGGGAGTGCAAAAGGTCCCACGGAAGGGACCCGAGAAGTGACAGATACTGTGAGCTCAGGCGGGCCCGCCCGCCTGGCCGGCGTGCCTGGGTACTTGAATTCTGTCTTGTTTTCTGCACTGTGTCTGGCCTCGCCCAGAGTTCTCTGTGGTCACTTAACTTTGCATTGGATTCGATTGTCTTACCTTGCCCTGGCGGTGGACACGGCGGTGGACACGGCGGTGGACGAGAGGCAGCGGGGAGAGGCCTCGGGCGGGAGCCTGCAGCCCTTCGCGGCATCCCAGTGGGCCGGTCTGGGCGGGGGCCGTCCGTGCTGTTTGTGTTCAGAGGCCGACGAAGGCAGAGGCGGGCGACTGTGCGGGGACTGTGACGTGCCCGGCCCTGACCTGTCCCCTGGCGCGGCCCGTGCGGCCAGCACCCCCTCCCCGACCACCGGTTACCGCTCAGATCTCCCTGTGGGTGGGTCCTTTTTGTGGAAATATCTTGCTGCAGTCGCAAAAGGCCAGTTACCCACTGACCAGCCGAGAACGCCGGGGAAGCCTGCCTGCCTCTGCTGGCAGGAGCCCTCTGCGGGACCGCGGGCCCCCGCTGCTGTGGGCCATAGCTGCCGTTCTGGAACCCGGCTGCCGCCGCGACTGTCATCCCGGGGCTGGCCCGCCGGCTCCGTGCGCCCCCGCCGCAGACCGAGGCCGGCAGGGCTTGGCGCAAGGTGTTTCTAACATGGCATAGGTGTTGGTTTTTTGTTTGTTTGTTTGTTTGTTTGTTGCGTTTCTTTGACAAAAAATGAAAAGGAAGATTATGCAGAATCTAAAGCATTCAGATTGGACAACCTGCTTGAATTTTCTGATCGATCGCTTCGTTGTTAGCGTTTTGCACATGACTGTAATTTTTATGTCAACAGAAGCCAAAACTTGCAATACTATTTTTAGCAGACAAAAAAAAAAGAACTAAATATAAAAATGTATAAATATTTTTGACTTGAACACTTGGACGGCACTGGGTGCAAACAGACCGTTCATCCTCTGGACGGGTGTTTGGGAAAAAAGACTTTTCAAAGGAGACGGTTGTTGTGAAGTCTGGTGAAGGGGTAGGTAGTACTGTAACTCATGACTGTTAAAAACAAATAAATAAAATACATAAACCGTTCCTGTGCTGTATAAAGGTTGGTTTCACATGCCACTGCGTTTGATTTCAGCCACAGAAGATGCTAGCTTTTTTTTTTTTTTCTTTTAAATAAAGGAGGAGGAAACCTTTGTTCTTGCTGCGCCTCAGTCGCTGGGCTGCTACGCAGTAGAGTCGAGACTGTCGCTTCTTAGCCACAGCTGACGCTGTGTTAATAACTCAACCTACAGAAACGTCGCCAGCGGCCATGGAACAGGGCTCCTGGCATGCTCAGAGCCGCTTCGTGAGGTGGAAATCCGTTATGGACAGACAAAAGGACCTGATCGTTCATTGTAAAGCGCTTTGTAAAGTTCACATTTACAGAATAATAAAGTCAGTTCAAACCCAAGTGAACCTGCGCTTTGCTTGGACAGTAGGGCAGAGGGAGGGGGAGGCCAGGGAGTGGGGGTGGGCTGTTAGGGGTAGAGGGCCAATTGTCCTGGGATGGCCCCAGGACCCAGGAGCCCCAGTAGGGGACGAAGCCACCCACAAGCTCCCGCTGTCCACACCCGGCCCGTTCACCCTCCGTCCGGCAATGTCTCACTAGGGAAGAGGGTGGCGGGGCAGCACGTCCTGGCGGCCTTGGGCCTGGGTGAGACCCTCTCCTTTTTTTTTTTTATTTTCTGCAAACTAGGAAAGCCATCTCACCTGCCTGCCACCCACCAGGTGTGCAGAAGCCGCCTTCCTCTGCCCCAACCCCCTGCAGTACCAGGCCTGCCCCCGGGTGGACGGATAGGGGATTGCAAGCGGGTGGAGCAGGTTGCCTGGCCCACTGGGAGCCTCCCTGGCCAGGCCATGGGCCCATCTCCCAATTGTCCCTGAAAGTGTCACTCCCGGGGGCCAGGGTTCTTGGGTCAGGCCTGGTAACTGTCTCCGCCCTTCCTCAGGCTCCATTCGCAGCATTGGCTCTGCCCCAGCCAGGACTTGCGTGCTCGCTTGTTTCTCAGGCGGGGGTGACCTGGGACCCCGCCCCCCCCCCGCCCCAGCTCCCCAGAGTTCACTCAGCCCCCGAGAGGCCCTCCCCTCAGGCCGCAGGCGCCGGGCAAGCGGGGTTCCCAGGTCAGCCACCTGGGTCGGTGGAGACACCCCGCCTCTGGGCCGAGGACCCAGAGGCCTGTGCCATGTCGGGGTGGGGGGGGTAGTGAGGATGGCCTTGGCTGGAACCCAGACGGCCTGCTGGGTTCCTCCGGCGCGGCTGCCCGGCCCCCTCTCTTGGGGGAGGGGGTCCAGCAGTGGAGGGGACATCTGCCAGCCTGTGCTCTGTGCCCTCGGTCCGTCCTTCCACGGCTGCCTGCCCTTGCAGCCTCCCACAGAAAGTGGCCGAGGCATCAGAACGTCTCCTCAGAGCCCCGCCGCCCCACCCCCACCCCTTTGTCCTGCCCTGGGAGGAGGGTGCCCAGTCAGCAGGACCCGGAGGCCCGGCCCAGAGTCTGCCCAGAGCCCTTTGTCCTTCCACACGAAGCGCGGGGGGCCGCTGGGGGTGGAGGTGGGTCCCGAGCCGCAGTCCCGCTGGGAGAGGGCCCTGGCTGGGCTGAGGGCCTGGCTGTGCAGGGGGCGGGGAGGTGGGAGGCCCCGGCCGGCAGGGCAGCCTCAGCTCTGTGTGGCTCCAATCTGTCCGGTGGCCCCAGGGGACGGACAGGAGGGTCTCCTCAGGGGAACACAGGCACTTGTGGCCTGCAGGCTGGGGCCCTGGGTCAGGAAGGGAGGTGGGAGAGGGCGGGGCCTGTCCATCTGCCCCACCGGCTGGAGGTGCCCAGCTCCAAGGCCCCCCATTCAGGCCTGGGCGCATGGGGGGCCGTAGCGCCGCTTTCCAGACGGGGGCCGAGGCTCGGGGGTTTAGGGAGGCCGCAGGTCCTGGCTGCAAGGTGGCAGGGCCAGCATCTGAGCCGGATCCCTCCGTGGCACTGACCTCACAGACCCCAAGTAGCGCCCCTGGCCGGGGGCGGTGGGGGGGAGCGGGAGCAGGAGCGCCCCAGGCAGCAGGTCGGACGGGCCCCGCGGGGCTGCACAGGGGCTGCCCAGCTCCTCCGGGTGCCGCCACGTGCCACCTGCTGTCCGTCCACCTGTGGCCAGACCAGCGTGTAGACGGCCCTCGGAGGATGCCCCTGAGGCGTCCTGCACGTGACTCCGGGGCTCTGGGAGGGAGGCGAGAGCCACAGCGAGCACAGCTGGCTCGCGGCCTGGCTCACCTGGGCCTCCTGGGGGGGGCGGGGATGAGGGGCCCTGCTGGGGCACCCACGGGGGCTGACCCTGGGCCGGCTGGCTTGACACAGCCCGGAACTGCAAAGGCGCCAGAGAGACTGCGCTCGCACGGCGGGGGTGGGGGCGTCTGCACAAGCCAGCGGGGTCCGCGGCCTTGTACGAGACTTCGGAAGCCAGGCCGAGACTCGGCAGGGGGCAAGCCTGGCACCCCAGGGCTGGTGGGCAGGCACCCCTCTCAGCTGCGCCCTGCACTGGGCCTGCCCCGTCTCTGGGACCGAAGTCTTGAACTGTGAGAGCCGAACCCTGAGCAGAGGCTGGGGGTCTGCAGGGGTGACGGACGAGCCGTGACGCTTTGAGGGCCACACTGCATCCGGTACAAAACTACAGGGACCCTGGGAGCTTTCTCCAGAGGGGCAGCGGCAGGAGGGGGCCAGAGACCCCGGCCACTCAGCCCCCAGGACGCCCGTCCATTCCAGGAGGTGCTCGGAAGCCACTGCCTGCGGTCCCGCTCCCCCCACAGCAGCCAGCCCTTGACACCCCCGTCCTGCCACTGCGGAAGCACCGAGGGCGCCCTCCCCAGCAGGCCAGGGCACCAGGGCGGCGAGCTGGGTGGGAGGGACGGCCTCTGGGCAGGACGGGCTCGGCTCCGGCTCCGGGCCAGGGAATGGCTGCCCCCTCCTTTCCTACCTAGCGGGGGTGAAGCGACCCGGCTCTCCACCCTGAGGGCCATCGGCCTGGGCGGGATGGGGAGGGCGAGGTGGCGGGCAGAGGAGGCCAGTGATGTCGGCCCCCCCGCCAGAAGCGCTGTGGCGGGGTGGTGCCGAGCAGGGTCCCTCGGGCTCAGGGCCGGGCCGCAGGGTCTGGCGGGGGGGTGGTGCCGAGGAAGGAGGCCCAGGTGCTGGAACTCAGTCTCCCCGCACAGGCCCTGTGCACTCCCCCAGCATCAGCCCGCATTGCCCCGCCCCCGCCCTGGGAGGTGGACTGCCCTGCACCAGGCCCACAGGGGTGCCTCCGAGCCAGAGCCCTTCCGGGGGCAGAGCAGATCGGCCGCCAGGCGGCCCTGCCGGGGGGCCGATTACATCCCTGGGGCCGGGCCTGAAGGCACAGACTAGCCCTGCTGGAGGCCCGCCCCACGGGACAGGGAGTGACGGGATGAGCACTCGGCCCGCCAGCTCCATGGGATGGGCGGAGAGGCTGCAGTGCCCTCGGCTTCTGGCCCTCTGATTACCCATCTGTGCTCAAAATACGTTCCTGGAACTGAGGCGGCCGCAGG